ACTAATCAAACAATTCATTGGCTTTACACAACAAAAAATACAGACTATTGAATTGACCAAGAAAGTAATCGAATAGCAAAACAATTACAATCTTTGGGAAAAGGCAGTGGGAGGGGGGATGGAGCTGATTTTCTGAGTTTCCATATTCTATTACATAAAATAACCAGTTTTCAACAACAAAAATATTATTGGGCATGTAAAGAAAGAGGAAAGTATGATGTCTACAAAACAAGACAAAGCAGTCAATAGAAAGTGTAACCAAGGAAGCTCAGATGTTGGACTTACAAGACAAAGACTTTAAAACATCTATTATATAGATTCACACACATAGAAAACAAACTTATGGTTACCAAAGGGGAGAGTGGGGGGACAGGGAGGGATAAATTAGGAGTTTGATATTAAGATATACACATTACTGTATATAAAAGATAAACATGAAGGACCTACTGTAAAACACTGGGAAATCAATTATACACACACACACACACACACACACACATCCTTGTATTATACACATCGTATATACACATATATATATATATGTGTGTGTGTGTGTGTGTGTGTGTATTTTGTATGTTGTCCTGTGGATTCAATTAAGTACAACTGGTCTGCTGTGTCCTTTGGGACCTCTGTTGCCATATTTATTTTCTGTTTAGATGATCTGTTCATTGACATCAGTGGGATATTAAAGTCTCCTATTATTATTTTATTGTCAATCTCTCCTTTTATGTCTGTTAGGGTTGGTTTTATATATTTAGGTGTTCCCGTATTAGATGCATAAATGTTAAAAGTGTAGTACCCTCTTCTTTTATTAATCCCTTTATCATATGTAATGTCCACTTTGTCTTTGTTTATAGCCTTTATTTTAAAGTCTGCTTTGTCTATGAATATTGCTACTCAACTTTCCTCTTTCTATTGCATGAAATAACTTTTTCCATCTCTTCACTTTCAATCTGTGTAGGTCTTCCACCCTGAAATGAGTCTCTTGTAAGCAGTATATTGTAGCGTTTGTTTTTTTATCCAATCTGCCATTCTAGTTCTTTTCATCACAGCATTTAGTTCATTGACATTTAAAGTAATTATTGATAGGTATGTACCTATTGCCATTTTAAACCTTGTCTTTCAGTTGTTTTTGGAGTTCTTTGTTCATCTCTTCTTTTTGTTCTTACCTTTGTGGTTTGATAGTTTTCTTTTGTAGGATACTTGAGTTCCTTTCTTTATGGTTTCTGTGAATCTATTATTTGTTTTGATTTGTAGGTACCCTGGATTTGCTTTAAACTAGCATATGAGTTCAGACACATTGGAAAAGATCTGTATTTTTATAATCCCCCACATTTTGTGATTTTGATGTCTTATATCTTCATGCTTATCCTTTGTTGTTAATTTAATTATAATTGCTTTTAGACAAATTACTTGTTTTTTATTCTCTGTGCTGGCTTATTTAAGAAGCCTTCAATGCTTTTTTTTTCTTCCCTTTCCTATTCTGATTTTCCCATTCCTCTAGACTCATGCTTCTTTTCTATTCAGAGAAGACATTTTAATATTTCTTTTTGGGTAGGTTTAGTATTATTGAATACTTTTAGTTTTGCTTGTCTGAGAAATTATTTTTTCTTCTATTCTAAATGCTAACCTTGCTGGGTATCTTGGATTGCATGTTTTCCCCTTTCAGAGCTTTCAGTATATCATGTCACTTTCTTCTGGGCTGCAAAGTTTCTGCAAAGAAATCAGCTTACCGCCTTACAGGGATTCCATTGTAACTGACTCTTTGCTTTTCTCTTGCTATCCTTAAAATATTCTCTTTATCCTTAACTTTTGCTGCTTTAATTATTATATGTCTTGGTTTAAGTCTGTTTGGATTCTATTGTTTGGGGCCCTCTGTGCTTCCTATACCTAGACATCTATTTTCTTCTGTAAGATGTGACTCCATAAAACAGCTAGAAGAGAACATAAGCAAAACATTCTCTGACATATATCATAGCAATATTTTCTTAGATCAGTTTCCCAAGGCAAAAGAAACAAAAGCAAAAATAAACAAATGGGACCTAATCAAGCTTAAAAGCTTTTGTATAGCAAGGGAAACCATCAACAAAACAAAAAGACAACCTGTGCAATGGGAGAAAATATTTGCAAATGATGCAGCTGGCAACAGGTTAATATAAAAAATATACAAACAGGTTGTATAACTCAGGATCAAAAAAACAAACAACCTAATTAAAAAAATGGACAGACGTACATAAACCTTTCTCCAAAGAAGACATACAGATGGTCAACAGGAACATGAAAAGATGCTCCACATCACTAATTATTACAGAAATGCAAATCAAAACTACAATGAGATATCACCTCACACTAGTCTGATTAGTTATAATGAAACATCTACAAATAAATGCTGGATAGGACATGAAGGGAACCCTCCTACACTGTTGGAATGTAAATTGATGCAACCACCACAGAAAACAGTACGGAGTTTCCTTTAAAAACTAAAAATAGGTACACTATAAAATCTAGCAACCCCACTTGTGGGTATATATCCAGAAAACACAAAAACTCTAACTCAAAAAGATGTATGTTCCATTATGTTTATAGCAGCACTATTTACAATAGCCAAGACATGGAAACAACCTAAGTGCCCATCAACAGACAATTGGCTTAACAGAAAATAATATATATATATAATGGAATGTTACTCATAAAAAAGAGTGAAATTTTGCCATTTGCAGCAACATGGATGGACCTAGAGGATATCGCACTTAGTAAAGCAAATCAGACAAAGAAAGACAAATATTATATAATACCACTTACAAGTGGTATCCAAAAAATAATATAAATGAATTTATATACAAAAGAGAAACAGACTGAGATATAAAAAACAAATTTATGGTTACCAAAGGGGAAAGGACTGTGGGGAGGGATCAATTAGAAGTATGTGATTAACTATACATAAAATAGATAAGCAACAAGAATTTATTGCATAGCACAGAGGATTATATTCAATATCTTGTAATAACCTCTAATAGAAAATAATCTCAAAAGTATATATATACTGAATCACTTTACTGTAACACTGAAACTAACACAATATTGTAAATCAACTATACTTCAATTTTTAAAAAATCTTAAGGAATACACACAAACTATCACAAGTAATGAATATGTTCAGCCAGCTTACAGGATCAACATATAAAAACAATAAAATAGCAATAAATGAAATAGCATGAAATTAAAAAACCAATTCAAATTACAATCATATCAAAAATACTTAAGAATAGATTTAACAAGACAAGTGCAAGACTTGCACACAGAAAACTACAAAACACTGCTGAAGGGAACTAAATAATACCTTAATAAATGGAAAGGTATCTTATGCTCATGGGTTGTTAACATGGTAGTGCTCTGAAATTGATACACATATTCAACAGTTTTCCTCAAAATCTCAACTAGCTCATTAGGAGAAATTCACAATCTGATTCTAAAATTCATGAGGAAATGCAAGGGACCCAGAATAGCCAAAACAGTCTTAAAAATAAAGAACACAACTGGAAGACTCACATTTCTCAATTTTAAAGCCTATTACAAAGCTACAGTACTCAAAGTATGGTACTGATATGAGAATTACCTACCTATCTATCTATCTATCTATCTATCTATCTATCTATCTAATCATCTCAGTGGGAATAGAATTGAGAGTAGAGAAATAAACTCATACACCTATGGCAAACTTATGTTCGATGGGGAAACCATAACCACTCAATAGGAAACAGTAGTCTTTTCAACAAATGATGCTTAGATAACTGGATATTCACATGCAGAGAAACAATTTAGACCTGTACCTCACACCATATACAAAACAATTATCTATTTTGCATGGTAAAATAAAATTTAACAGATAAAATAATAAAATTCTTGAAAGAAGAGTTAGAAATCAATCTCTCAAATTGAGTAAGACTATGATTCCTTAGAAATGACACCAAAAGATAAATCTAAGCAACATTTGTTGCCCAGAGGTGGAGACATAAATTTTTATCAATTGATAAATGGATAAACAAGCCATGGTATATTGATAGAATACAATATT